GGGGGGCGGGGGGGGGCGGATGCAGACACTCCAGCTCTGGCCCAAGGCCCACCGCCCTGGGAGGGGGACTAAAAAAAACAGCTCACCTTTCTTACTGCCCCGGAAGTTACAAATGCTTGAGGTGTCTGAGACTGTCACGTGCTGGATCAGCAGGGACCTGGTGGGGGAAGCAGAGGCCATCAGCGTCCCAGCTCTAACTCCCCTCCCCTCCCTGCTGGTCCCAGCATGCGCAGAGCTCCGCTCACCCGGAGTGGCCGCCCACGGCCACGCAGCGGCTGGTGTTGGCGCTCCAGGCGCAGTAGGGGTCCCGAGCAAGCACGCAGTCAGCGCAGGACCGGTACTTCACACAGTCGGCCGGGGGCAGCTGGACCAGCTGGGAGCGAGAGCCCGCAAAGAGCAGCTTCTGCCAGAAGAGCATAGGAGCGGGGTGAGCCAGGCCTGGACATGGCCCGGGGGCGGCTCAGACCGCTGCCAGGGGGCACGAGGGGCCCAAAAGAGAAAGGGGGCTGCGCTCAAGTCCTAAGGAGGGAAATCTGAGGACTGAGAATGCATGGAGGGCTTACTACAAGCCAAACGCAATCCTAAGCACCTTACAGATGTGACCTTATTAGAAAGGAACAGCAGACCTGTGAGGCTGAGAAATATAGTCACACACACACACACACAAACGCACACTCACTCACTCCCTCCCTCCCTCCAGGACAGTATAAATAGCACAGGAAGTTCAGTTTCCGCAGGGCTCACAATAGCACCAGCGGAGCATAAGGTGTTTTCCTCTGTTTGAATGGTGATTGCCAATTTGTGTGTTTCTTCAACCACAGACTTTGTTTCTGCCATTATTCCACGCTCTGGAGAAACAACCTGAGCCACCACAGGTGGTGAAAGGCAAGCGCGTGAAGGTGCCACAGACTCGCCAGAAGAGAGTAGAGCAAGAGCAGAAGCTGAGAGCAAGCGCTTTGGGGAACGGCTGAAGCCGCCGGGGGCAGGGGGACAGGGCTGGAGGGCAACGGGGCCGGTCGGCAAGGCGACATCACAAGGGCATCACGAACTGACACAGCACAAGGCCTGGCCAACAGTGGCACCGGCAGAGAAGAGTCACAGCGCAACCCCGAGGGGCCTGAAGAAAGCGCACAGAGTAGCTGCCAAGGCCCCGTTCTGGGAACGCAGCCCCGCCAGGACCAGGCTATATATAAAACATAACGCCCGGTTGCCAGGACCAGGCTATATATAAAACATTAACGCCCGCAGAGCGCGGATTCCATTAGCGCTCTCATTCCTGGGACCCGCCCCAAGCTACCCGAGGTGGCTCAGGCATCTCCCCACCCCTGTACCGGCCAAGCACACGACCAGGGGTGGCCTGGGGACAGTGGTGGGTGGGGCCTGATTACTACCTTGCTCCGGGACAGGACCAGACTTTCCACCGGCTCCTGGTCAAACACCTGCAGCTCCTCAATCAGGTGGACCCAGGGCCCCAGGCTCACGGCCTTGAGCAGCCAGCCATCTCCTGTGGGGGGATGGGGGAGG